CACTTGGTTACGTTGTTACATTGTTACGACAACAAAAGAACTATTCCAACTGTTATGAGAGTACGTCGTCTAGCATCAGCGATTCAGTCTTACTTTGTTAGAGCTATATATTACGGTAGTATATTAATAGCATGCTATTAACAATATTGAAAGTTACCAAAACGCGTCAATTGGGTTGCATGGACCGGGACTCAGCGACTCCGCGCTACTGATTGCCACGGTATTCAAGCTCCGATTATAGTCCAAAAGCGACTGGATTTCTGGGGTATTGAGCTGGTTCCAAGATCGGGAGTCGATACACTGCTCCGCGGATCCGCGGACGTCGGGCATGAACTATATAAACCCATATACAGCATGGGATATCCATGTCGTTTTCCAAATTACAGTTTCTTCTCAGAAGCGTATATATCATCGAATAATACATGTAACTATGGAAGCCGTGTTCAACTACGAAAATTTCCGTCTCGCGCCACGCTTCGACGCGGAAGCCCAATCGGCCATGCTCCGACCCAACCCCAAACTCGAGCATGCCCTAACCAACTCAACCGCCAGGGGTCTCCCATCCATCAGCGTGCTGCCCATGGCCGGACAATACCTATCCATCCTGACCCAACTAATCGGCGCCAAATCCGTGCTCGAAGTCGGGACTCTGGGTGGATACTCGAGCATTTGTTTTGCCGAAGCTGGCGCAAAAGTGACGAGTATCGAAATCGATCCAAAACACAGGGATGCAGCAGTGGAAAACGTGGCGGGGCTCGACGTGGAAGTTCTGCTGGGGGCTGCGCTGGACGTTCTGCCCAAACTGGCGGAGGAAGGGCGGCAGTTTGATTTGGTTTTTATCGATGCGGACATGAATGACCAGCAGGAGCAGTTTGATTGGGCGGTCAAGCTGACTAGGCCTGGGGGATGTGTATTTTTGGACGATGTTGTGGCGTCGATGATCAAAGATGGACATCCACAGGAAGGGACAGAGTCCATCTTGACGCAGATAGGCAGGGATGAGAGAGTCAAGGCTACGTTGGTGCCGACTGTGGCTTGCCACCCTATGGCTCCTAATCCGGTGTTTAATGGATTTGTGCTAGCTCTAGTCAAGGGTCACTAAGTGAAGAGCACCTGTTACATGTACATAGTGAGAGTCATGGAGTAGAATTGGCCACTTGATCCGTATTGAAGTAAAAGGTTTTATTATCCGATGTTAGACATGTATTGTATACAGGCTTTTAAGCCAAATTGAAGAGCTTTCAAAAAAAAAAAAAAAAAGATGTAGTCGAAAAATGAAAATGAAGTAAAAGCTCATTTCAATCCCATTTTCAAATGGTATGTTCCGTCGTTCGCTAGAATGAATGCATTCGGCTTTAATCTTTTCCATCTCCTGTTAGTCCCAGTTCGTAGCAACGCATGAAAAACTTCAAACTCACTTAAGCCTTCAAAGATCTAAGCAAGATCTAGATACAGGCTCCCTGGTTGTTGTTCCAGGGGCCAACAATCTCCCAGCCGCTCTTGGGGGGGATATAGCACTGCAAGCCGAGGCAGCATCCGGCCTGTCCCTGACCACAAGCACCGCCCTTGGGGCTGCATGCCACGTTCTGGACATTCTCTTCAGGGTTGAGGTTGTCGGTGTTGTCGCGAGTGTCAACGACAGCACCGATGGCCAGGGTGGTGAAGAGGAGTGTGGTAAGGCTGGTGAAGAAATGCATTTTAGAAAATAGAGTTTGAGTTATGGGTTGGTAGATGGTTGATGATTGATGGTTGATTGCGTGATGATGAATAAGATAGAACTGAGAACATCAAGCCATCTTTATACTTGCTCGTCTAGCCAATTTTTCTCTTCAATGTTGTCATGGGCGATCTCAGTTGCTGTCGATATCACGATCATCATTAGATTTAGCTTAGCAAGCACTTTGAACAAGCAAGGGGTGACGTTTTTGTAGAGAAAACAACCGATATCAAGTTGACTTGGTGATGTGAGCTACAGAAAAAAGAAGGTGAAATAATAAAGACAACCTGCTGCTAATTTCTCAATGCGCAATAGTCGATCTCAATAGATCGCGGAATCATCAGCCGAGGCAAGGGGGTTTCCTGATTAGGAAACATTGTCTCAACTCCCTGCAGGCTTGGCAGGGGTGATCTACAGTCAACCACAAACTATTTCCAAGTTTTTGTTTTCGTAGAATATGAGGCTCGAAGTTAATTCGTGCTTCATCACTCCAAGCAGTCTCCACACATTATGCACTCTTGTCTATATAAGCACCTGCTCCCTGCTTCCTGCGCAACTTGTTTAATGAATGCATGCAAATTTCGGGGTGAAACAACAATGTTAAAAAAGTCATATCAGATTTAATTTCTTTTGTCTAAGATATGTTCTGCGACTATTGCCTAATTACATCGTATAGACCACTGGTCATAATCAACTCCAATAAGTTGCATATTTACTCTCTCCCTTGAAAACTTCAATGTATCGCTTTGCAATATGCGTGTCCGTCTTTTCCGACGGGTGCAGCGAGTTGAACCACATGAATGAATCTGGATTTGGCAGCCGCTCGCAGTTCGAGCTATTCGAGGGATAACAGTGGTTAATGAAGCCAGTGACATTCGCTGGATGCTCAAAGTACTGCTCGGGATTAAAGTATATATCCTGGAGCTGATGGAGTAGATTAGCCAAAATTCAAACCTCGTCAAATGTTTTTTGGTTAAGGAATGCAAACTTACAATATTGTACATATCCATCACGGCAAAATGGGCTCCAGGGTAGCGTTTCCGAACCAAGAGTTCAAAAGGTGTTTGGTACTTGTAGATATCGTTGGTGGTGGTCACAATCTGCCACATCCTATACGATATCTCAGTGACATTGGTACTGGCGTTGCCGTCTTCAATGGCAAAAACACCGTGCCTCTCCGGCGTCGCATACAGCGGAGCGAGCTGCAGAGGAGCCAGGTTCTGGAGGATAAAGTACCGTGCCCCGTTTTCGTAAATCCGGTCCAGAGCCGAAAAGACACACTCGGTGTAGTCCGGGATAGTCTTGCCTGCTATCTGCTCGTCTCTCAGGAAGGCATCGGCCCCCAGGTCGTTGGTGCCGATCCATATCGAATACACCGTCTCTGCTGGTGCAATGTCCAGGAACGGATGACTGCCGTTGTGGACCTTGCTGTCGGCGATGTACGCGGGGACTTCATATTCAAGTACAGATGGGAAGTTGTTGTTGATGGTGTCATACCAGTGCGGCGAGATTTTGTTCGAGCACACAGCGCCTGACACAGCGTAGTTGTACAGTTTAACGTTGGCATAGTCAGCAACGTAGCGAGCCCAGATGTAGCCACCGGAGGAAGTATTATTGCTCTATTCCTCTGTTAGATAACTATCATATATCCAGTAACAAAATAATACTACTCACCACGGGATCTACCCATCCAGGCGGCGGCGCAGTGCCGTTGTGCTCGGAGAAATAGTTCAAACGACTCTCATCTGTGTAGCTATCGCCAAAGGTGACAATGCTTTTAAACTGCTGCGATTTCCAGTGAGAGGCAGAAGCAGCAGCAAGCTGCGCGCATGCAAGAGCAGCCACAAGACGCATGGTGGAGATTGCGGAAGTTTGTCCAATGTCAATTCTTCAGATGCTTCTCGGCAACAACATCACATTTAAATCCGGCAAACGGAAGTGCGGGGAAGAAGACATTATCCCTCGACACTTGGGCATTGATTATGCCGGTTTTCCATCATCCAATGGTCGAATCCGCTACGGACTGCAATGTTGCATCCGGCCCAAAGGCTATGAAGTAATGTTGTTATGGGGGGAATGGCTCCTGCTGCTGAAATTGGCTGGCCCGGGGAGGATCTACAGGGCTAATTAGCCTAATATGACCGCTATGGACGCTAAAACACTGCAAATGCCGAGAACTTCAAACTCGAGCACGGCTAATTCATTGGTGGACAAAATAATCTATGCTCGATGCGGTCTGCCCGGATACTTTCCGAGAAACAGGCAAATGTCAGGACCAGTTATTGACGGGTCACCTCGTCATCTTGGGATCAATCGATTCGAGAGTGTTTTCAATGTTTATACTACATACAGAAAGGCATTCCACCAGGAGAAAGGTATTATATAGAGTACAAGATCATACAGAAAGTGTTTCTTCGCGGTGAGCGTGGGTCCCGCTGACGATACGTGGGAAGGTATACAGGTAGAGGAGGATAGAAAGTAGCTTCAGGGTACTAGTATTGGTCTTCTTACAACACTAATCCCTACTCGTCTATGTCCTACACAGGTCTCCTGTTATAGAGTAATGTGTGCGGACCTAATTAGATCATCTGATCTCGCTTATCAGCGTAGCTGGCCTAGCTTTGGCGACCTACGGGCGTCTGGTTGTTGCGAACTTGCGGTCTTCTGCGTTCACGTAATCTACGGGCGTCAGAGCTCATGTGCATATATATTTACCACCAACCTCGTGCCATTCGCAAGGGTGTAGGAGCTTTACAATCACAGTCGGCAGACTATGTACTATAATGAATATGATCAGAGATATATAGTATACATACTAGGAACTGTAATTACGATCACTAGTTGTAGTTATAGCCATATAAGGATACCCGTTTGCTATATATATGCAGTGTACCTCTATTCCAACTCTTATAGATGATCTCTTTAATAGTTATATTGCTTATAATATACAGTCACTTGACCCCCCTAACTACCTAACATTCAGTCGAATTATCGGCAGAATACTAACGAACGTTCGATATTGGTAAAGAACCACTGGGATTCATATTATCTTAGGATGCTGTATTCGCGCCAAATTTTAAGGTTAGCGCCCCAGTGGTCTAGGGGTATGATTCACGCTTTGGGTCAATATAATTGGTTGATGTGCGTGAGGTCCCGCGTTCAAATCGCGGCTGGGGCCTTTTTTTTTGCCTGTGTTTGCTGCTATTCAAAACATTTTTTTTAATCCAAAAAAAAAAAATCATCTCAATCTTAGGATGCATTTACCCACAAGCTCTTATCTGTGGCCCCAGTGGTCTAGGGGTATGATTCACGCTTTGGGTCAATATAATTGTTTGATTTGCGTGAGGTCCCGCGTTCAAATCGCGGCTGGGGCCTTTCTTTTTTTTCCAAATCCAATTTTTTGTGTACATTCTGACTGGCCGCCCCTTGGGTCGGTCTGTTTTTCCGGTTTCCGGGTGAGGTGTGAGCCAAGACCCGTCAGCTTGTTGGATATAATTAATTTCGTGAAAAACAGAAACCACTACCAAAGCCGAGAGATCCTGTGCTATTGCAGTGTTAGCAGCTCAGTCTCGCATTTATACTTTTGCAGGTAAATACCTCACTGCCAATGTCATCATTCTTATTCAATAAAAACGAACACCCTCGGAACGGCGGAACTACTAGTCTTAGTTCTCTCCTCGAATTCCAACAATATGTTTCTCCTTCCTCTTTCAATCCTACTCCTTATCCATGACTGGACATGGGTAGGAGGAAAAACATCTCTTTTTTGTTGGCACTAAAGCGTATGGTTTATCGCTGAATACCGTTCTATGCTGGTGACGCCATGGAAGTCAAGGAAGACGTCGAGACCGCCCACCCTGTTGTCGAGACAGTCGTCAGCGAAACAACCAGCAGTGAGAATCTAGCAGCTAAGCAGGATGTCGGATTTCAGCCGATAGCTCTCACAAAAACGACCAAAAAGGACCCCACGTACAGGCTACTCAAGGGACAACAACAACCTCAACTACGTAACAACCTCAGTGTTGGCGTCGGCTTCCTCGAATTTGCCAATGCGCTTGATTTTGCAGCGAACATCTGGAACCAGTCGCCCCTGCCACGATTCGTTGTGGCGCTCATGGCCATCGGTGGGTCATGGACGCTTCTTCTTTCTACGTTTGCCTTGTTCGACTTTCGGCGGAGCTGGAAAAATACGCGCATTTTACGGGACGAACGGAAATACCTGCACCAACTCCGCAGCGAGAACGACCAACAAGGGCACCTTGCGCGTGATATCGACCGCATTCTCGGCGTGAACTACCGGGAACTGACATCTGAGGTTGTTGATCGAGTCGCCATGGATTTCCTACTCGGGTTTGCAGGGCTGCTTGTCGGTATCGGCACTCTGATCGCTATTCCTGGAGCCAACAACCCCCGCGTTTATCTCGCCTCCAACTTATTGTCGGGATACATCGGAAATGCCTTCCCTCTTCTGTGGGGGGTCCTCAATTTTGTCACTTCCATGTACATATGGTGGCGGTTCCAACGACAAGCGAGACTTGCAGCCAAGTTCAGCCATTTGGAGCCCCTGGTGGCAGATGTCGTCCTCCGATGCCGGCAATTCCAGCGACATGCATGGTTGACTTCTATCAACGGGGTGGTAGCTGGGGTGGCTGGGATGATTACCTTCAAATACTGGTGGGCATACGTGATTTTGATTCCGTGTATTATTGCCTCAGTGATCGGCAACTTGTATTACCGAATGAGGATTGGGTATGACCGATATCTCGTGACAAATATTAGACCAGAGGCTTTTTCCGCACCGCATAATTTGAGCCTGGAGCTTATGGATGCGCATGTCTTTTGTGTCAGTCTTCGACAGCAGGAATTACCCACGCAGATCACAGCTCTTGGGAATCTCGAGAAGCCAGATATGACTGTGGCCTCAAGGCTGCTCGAATCGAACCGCCTTTTCCCGCGTTTCTCTGAGTGGTTGTTCAACAAGGACGAACGGATGGCACAGCGGTTGTTTTGGTCGGAGGATCATTCAGATCAGGTGGTGATCACGGGCCAGAATTTTGCGCACGCAGATATCGACCGGGGGCAATTCTATCGCCTCTTCAAGCTGTTTCTTCTCGACTGCGGGCCGAGACATTTTGAGAGCCGAAGAAGGTATTTGTTGGAGTTGATGGCGTATGACTTGGAGCATTATAGATCATAGAGACGAGCCGCAGGCGTTGTGATGATTTTCCAGAGACACGGGATGTCCCTTAGACCAGACATAGCGATAGTTAATGATAATTAGTACCTTGACAAAAGCAGACCTAGAGGAAACGAGTAAAGACGAGGTGGCGTGTCAACCTGACCTGACTCGGACCGCCACGTGCGAGGCTCGCTCAGAGGGGTGGCGCCCCGTGACTGCGGACAGCAGCGCACAGGAACAGATCGGCTGCGAGATCCTCGTCGAGATCGATCGTGCCTTAAATACTGCGCTTCCTCCATCCATCTTTCTCCCCACCACAAACAACCAAAAAGTCCCAACGTTTTGTGCGTGCGTGCTTGAACCCCGCCGGAACAGCTCGACGGGAACGGACGTCATCGCTACCGGGCCGCATCAGATCGATCTGCACCTGCGATAAGGCTGCCCGACCAGGAGATCTCTGTCTGTCTGATCAACACTGCGCACCCCGCGTTGATTAATCAATGCTTCTTGCTGGGATACTCTGATTGTCCCGACTTGTCTGCCTACTTGGATTATCTACGGATTGGAAATTTGTTGCCGGAACCGGCCCGGTGCAGACACAACTGTTCAAGATGTTTGCATCCAAGCGACTGGGCAAGGTACCTTTGACCTCACCATTTATTTTAGGTGTATTCAATGCTAACTATGTGATCTATTTAGGAGCTCATAAAGGTACGATTACATACGAGTCTCCATTTCTTATACACCCCAGCTAATGATATGGAATAAAACTACAGATGAAAGGCCATCTCCCCCCGGGAATCACAATCGTCCAGTCAGAGAACTTTGAAGAATGGCTTGTGGATATTCGTGTTCTCGATTCCAATCCTCTCTACCTAGACCAAACATTCCGGCTCAAGTTCAGTTTCAACTCGAAATACCCCATCGGTATGTTCGCCATCAGCCCTGCACCTGTCAAAAGACAAAAGAACAGATGAGGAAAAGGGATCTAGAAAAAATTCTGACAGGATTTTTCGCAACAGAACCACCAGAAGTGATATTCATAGAGCTTCCTTCCACCTCCGAGACCCCCCGTCCTATCCCGATTCATCCACACATTTACTCCAACGGATTCATATGTCTCGACCTACTCTCGTCAGCAGGCTGGTCGCCCGTGCAGACGGTAGAGAGCGTCTGCATGAGCATCCAAAGCATGTTGACAGCAAACAGCAAAAACGAGCGACCGCCTGGTGACGAGGAATTCGTCATGAGGAACCGACGAAGACCAAGGGATGTCAATTTCGTCTACGAAGACGATAATGTATAAACCATGGGTCTTCTTTTTCTTTCTTTCCATGTTTGTTTCCAGTCCATATTTCAGTCAATATGGGACTTGGCATACCGGCTTTGATATCGGTTATTTTCCAATTTTTGCCCCTTGTCACATAGCGTGGATGGATATAAGACGGAGTTGTTGCGTACTTCTTTTTTTGTCCCAAACTTCATTCTTTTGCCTCGGTGTAAGGTCATCTTGAGCCTCACATTCTACCACGGGTGGTGTTTATATTTTGGTATCTATTCTTGGATGTAATAAAAAAATTTTTTTTTTTGGCTTTTGAATGCGCTCTCGAATGACAAAAATCACATATTACGGTGTTATTGTCAAAAGCTTGATACTTTGTTGCGTATTCAATAACCTACTCATTCATTCCTTTCTATTCACAATATCTGTACATACAAATAGAAAGAGGGCCAAAAAAATCTAGCAGGTTCAGTTTGACAAAGGAAAAGAGAACAATATGAAGTCGCACGTATAAGAACAGGGATGCATCAAGGCTGCATTCAGAAAGCCCAGCTAAGAAAATAATCAAACGCCACCAACATGCTGCCTTCTATGCAGCTAGAGAATTGTTATTTTGGGTTATTGTTATTGTGACATGGTGTGTGTATGTGTTTTGCGTGGCTCAGGATGGTCTATCGGTCGACTTCACCAAACACAAGATCCATGGTACCGATGATGGCGACAGCATCGGCAAGCAAATGTCCACGGGAGACCTGGTCGAAACCTCCCAGGTGGGCAAATCCAGGAGCACGGATCTTGCATCGGTATGGGCGTTCACTGCCATCACTGACGACGTACACACCCATCTCACCCTTGGGGGCTTCAATCGCCGAGTATGTCTCGCCTGGAGGGACAGTGTAACCCTTGGTGAACAAGAGGAAGTGGTGGATAAGGGCTTCCATGTTCTCCTTCATGGCAGCACGGGGCGGGGGGCTGATCTTGTAGTCTTCAACCTTGACAGGTCCGGCAGGCATCTTGTTCAGGCACTGGTGGATAATGCGGAGGGACTGGCGGAACTCTTCCATACGGCAGAGGTATCGGTCATAGCAGTCACCGTTGTTGCCGACGGGGACGTCGAATTCGACTTGATCGTAGGCATCATAGGGCTGCGACTTGCGAATGTCCCAGGGAACACCGGAACCACGGAGCATCACACCGGTAAAGCTCATGTTAAGAGCATCGGCAGCGGGGACTACACCAACGCCCTTAGTTCTCGCCAGCCAGATACGGTTATCCGTAAGAAGCTCTTCGGTTTCGTCAATGCGATCGCCGAATTGAGTGGCCCATTGGTAGATATCGTCAAGCAACCCGATAGGAATATCCTGAGAGACTCCACCTGGGCGGACGTAAGCGGCGTGAAGACGGGCACCAGAAACACGTTCGTAAAATTCCTAGCACCAAAGCAATTAGAAAAGTCCATCTATCTGAACAAAAAGTAGACAAACCATGAGCTTCTCTCGCTCTTCGAAACCCCACAAGAAAGGCGTCAGCGCACCAACGTCCATGGCGTGGGACAAAACAGACATCAGGTGGTTCAGAATACGAGTGATTTCACCAAACAGGGTACGAATCCACTTGGCACGTTCGGGAATCTCAACGTTGAGAAGCTTCTCCACGGCCAGGGAGAAGCATTGCTCGTTCGTCATCATAGAAACATAATCCAGACGGTCAAAGTAAGGCAGGGCCTGCATGTACGTCTTGTATTCGATCAATTTCTCGGTTCCACGGTGCAAGAGACCGACATGAGGGTCGGCGCGAATAATCTCTTCGCCATTGAGTTCCAGAATCAATCGCAACACTCCGTGCGCAGCCGGGTGCTGAGGGCCAAAGTTGACGGTATAGTGCCGGATCTTGCGACCACCAACCTCCGTCTT